GTACGCGGCACCCCCTCTTACACTGGCTTGGGCTGCTTGACCAAAGTTTCCAGGGCGCATTGTAGTGTACACTCCTCCTAAGCATTGAGCAACGTCTTTGCCTGTACCTTCGTAACTCCAGATGCCCATCCCAAAGCGCTTTGAGAACAGAACCGGGAATACCTTCGACGGCCCCAACAGCCCCAATTCGTCATGGTTGGGGCTCGGCCAGTCAAGGCAGCCGGAATCAAAATCCCGGTCAACGCCTTGCGACCGCACCACGGCGCCATCATCTGAAGGGTTCAACCCAATCTGACCAGGGACCCTAGTATTGCCCAGCCCAACTCCCGGGCATCGTAACCGTGACCGTTACGGATCCGTCTTGCGTTTATCGTCTCGGCTGCCTCTCCCGGAACGCAAGTCCCGGAACGCAAGGTGTGTCTCACCCCAACGGCACGAATCACCGAAATGCCTCGGTCACCGCCGCGTCTCATACCTTGCTCTTTGCAAGAGGCTGATCAATAACTGCGATATTTAGCGTTTCTCGAAACGGTGTCAAGCTCACCAAAGTAACTGGTCATCTTTTCCGTCACTCATACGAGTCCGTAAACCGGGTTGTTTTCCAATGACCGATGGTCGAAGGCAGCGACCAAGTTAGCGCTTTTCAACCCCCCACCATTTCTCCCGCCTTTCCTCCGGTTCGACTGGTTGCACTCTTCCTGCGGTTGGCCCCCCTCAACGCATCCCTCCCGCCACATCGGCAGTCTTCACTTGAGTGACGGAGGACAATCTCACCTCTTCTTTCCTCACCGCAAACAAGAGCCAACTCCCAACGATCTGTCAAAGTAACCCCGTCTGATAATTCCATTCACGGCCGTCGCTGAGATGAGGGTTTTCACCTCACCCAACCATGCACCCCCCGGGCGAGTTCGATAAGGATTTATATATCCTGGAGATGTCCCATCAACCTCTGCCCCTAACCGATACTGTTAAAAAACGTTTGTTCGTGGGCATTTGGAGCTTGGACTGCAGGGCTTACAAATATCACATTCATGCCTTCTCACAGACCCCCCTCCCCTTCCCACTGATTCCCTCAACAAGGTCCTGCAGCAGTGCTGCGCGCCAGGGTCACCACTGCCCCAACCACAACCAACTGCCCCATCCAGTGGGCAGAAGCCGTCTGGGGCTCAATGAGAAACCTCCCAAAGAAGGTGGCAAGCAATCAATGGTGGTCCGTTCCGGCGGCTACGTTGGCACCTGCGAGTGCATGATTACCCGCCCTCGGCTGGTTTGAATCTGTCACGAGTGCGCCCAACAGGATGCCTTAACGCGGCCTTCCCCCGCCATAATCATAGGAAAATTTTAATGGGGAGTGACCGAAAACAGTAAAAGAATTATGTTCTGGACTGTCTCCTCCTGAAGAATCATCTGGTAGTGAAAGCGATGAATTTTGACCCCATGAATTTTGTATTTTATTTGAATACCATACCTTGCGTAACGATACTTGGAATATCCCTTTGCAACTCAACACCTGCCCATGCTCTCTGTATTTACCACCCGCTTACGAATACTCCTAGAGTCCTCCAGCATTCTCGAAGCAAGCCAAGAAAGCTCGCGTTTGGGGCCGGAATCTTGACACCGGGCCACGAGGGGAACAAACTGTCTGCGAGTCCGCATGTACCCCTGGACGCAAACAAACAAGACGGCGAAAAGATTTAATACGAGCATAATTCTGCCGGAGCAGCTCCGACCGCCTGGTTGGTTTCTTCCTGGAGCTGTTGAGACGCGCAGGGCAAGATGATCAGCCTGTATGGTTTCTCTCGTGCCTTGCTCGATCTGCGTATGCGCACTGTAGCCGCCTCTATTCGCCACTTAGGTTGTGATTATTCAAGACTCATCACCAGAATCGAAATAGCTCATGGTTTGAATTACAAAAGGCGTGCACGGTAAAGCAGCCATGTATCCCCCGTCGTGGTCTAAGCTTCTAGGAAGAATAAGCTGGGTTCATATTTCAGTCTGAAGGAGCATCGCCTATTCAATGATCCCGTAGGTCGTAAACGAGGTACCATCTCGATTTGTAGGAACAAGCCCGACACTCTCTCACACGGCCTTCTCCCACCCACGCTTCCAGCCGCACTTCCATCATTCCTCAAGCTGTCAACGCGCTCCATCAGTGGCCACTCACTTCTCTTTCCCCTCCTTTCCCCCCCCCTTCTCCATTTCCCGCCACTCTCCCAGCGCCTCGTCCCAATCGGCCCCTTGCCTTGCATCAGCTCTCTCAAGCTTCCCCTCTTCCTAGCACCCACCGTGCCCCCCAAGGGGTAACGAACCCTCACCCCTTCCTCTCCTCCGTTCTCAATTCTATCCAGCCTATGAAACAGCCACAACGCTCGTGATCGTCCGCAGCCCCGTCACAGTAACGGCAGGGAGGGTCGTGGTAGTAAACGGGACTGTTGCCAAGACTGTCACGGACTGAACTGGAGCTGTTGGGTCTCGCGCTGTGGTGGTTGGCGCTGTCCCTGGTCGGCAGGCGTCTGTGGTCGTGACAATAACGGGGACGACGACCACGACGACGATGGTAGTGGGGCCATATCCTGGGCCTGAGACGGTGATTGTTGCTGTGGTAACGTTTTGGATGTCTTTTGGGTTTATTCTGAACGGAATTGGCCATGGGGGTGTTGTTGACTGGGGGGTTGTGACTGCCACGGCCGAGGTTACACTATCAGCATTGTCGGAATGACCTGGCTGGCTTTGCTCTGTTCCATTGCCATGATTTGAGCCGGTCACCAAACTAGTTGTTGATCTCTGGTGTGTGATCAAGCGGGGATTGAAGAGCCTATCGAGAATATTGCCCGAGAAAAGGGGGGCTGGTGGGAAAGGGGTATTGAAAAGCGGCGAAGTGAGCATTGCATGGCTTGATGTATGCAATGGAGCCGTATCTGTGAGCTTTCCAGCAATTAATACGGCCAGTAAAGTCGCGGCGGTAAGCTTCATGATGCCGCTTCGGAGGTTGTTGACATTCAGGGGCTGGCGCATAAGCTTTGCGGCACCTGATTAACGACGGTTGTTCTCTTAGGTAAGGAAACCTTTGTCGCAAAGCTGTCTTTCCCAGTCTTTCCCCTCAGCCCTATTTGAATATTTTATTTCTGTAGGACAGAGTCGAATGCAAGAATGACAAGGCCAAAAGTCGGTTGCAATATGACGAAATAGTCGGCTCCATAGTAGCACAATAGCGTACTAGTGTGTTACCTGCATAGAGTGGTCATCCAATCATCAGGAGCTAAGTCAAAGGCTCCGACAAGAATCGTTTCATTTACGGTCTGCAACATAAATGGGCTATGTATCCGTTTTGCTTTTGTCTGTCTGCTGGTATTGAGGAAGAGCATGAGTACGTTGCCTCCTCGTCCGCCTGGGGAGTTTTACTTCATGGATGGAGAACTAGGGACAACGACACCCGATTTATCGTACCACGCTACTAACACACGCACAATAGTACCAAACGATACCGACTATGAGTCTATGGTGTGTAAGACGTAAGACGACCGTTTCACCAAAATGTCCCACCAAATCCACTCGGACTAGCCCCTGATCAATATGCAGACGGTTTTGTACATACCCCGCTTGAGGCTTGAAGCACAAGTCCAATCACTGAAATTTCCTCTTCTATCTCTTAGACAGCTGGTAGGAATTGATGATACAAAATACAAAATAATTACTCGGTAGGTGTCAGCACCAAACAAGCAAGCGATACATCACAGGTTGTGGACCATGTGGTGTCGTCAGGGGCATTTGCGCAACATATTCGCCGTCATTACTTAGCGGGGAAAAGAGAACGGATGGCAGTTAATTGTGTCCTGCGGAATAAAGCAGCCTTTCTTGAGGCTCACGCTCTCATCGTGCCTTGTTCGCGAGCTTATTTCCAGCGTTCTCAGACCTCAAAGCACCTCGTTGAAGTCCTCCCCTGTATCTGGCCCACCTTTATGTTAATGTGTATTATCACTGGGTTTAAGTCCATCGTCTTCCCAATATACACTTATCCCGATCGCGAGCATAGCGTTGGACTTTCTCATTGCGCTATGTGGGTGACTTCTCAAAATCACTGGGTCACGTAACCAAGCTTGTTCCTTCCCATCGCCCTTGGAGTCTCAATAGGGGTCAAAACAGGTAATCTCGTGGCAAACGGGTAGTCGTCTTCAAAATTCAAGAGCTCCCTCACTACTATGTATTCGGTCCCAACTCAGAGAAGTATTTGCATTCCCATCTCATGCTAGCGTTGCTTCGCATCACTTCTTAGCAGGAGCGCCAAACAAAACCGACAGTCGGGGTTATCTCATTTCAACTGATGTCAAACCCTCACGCTCGCATTAGAATTGGTTTTTAACTCTATTGTCCTACCCCCTTTCCTATTTTAGCTCGTGTCTAGCCCCTGAATCTCGGCTGCTGCACTTTATTCCTACCACCTTTTCAGCTTGGTTTCATTTCTTTTGTTTCTTTAACACTACTCCATTCTACAGGTTCATTCCAGCGATAATTACAAATTTCAGGATACCTCCATCAACACCAACAACCACATCATTTCTTCAACCGCGCGGAATCTTTCTTCTTTCCTAACGGCGTGGAGGGTCATTCGCACTGAACAACAGGGTTGTAATGCAGCCCAGTTCTCCCAGCTTCACCGACAATTGCACAAAGAAACTTAACACTCTTTGACTTTCATGCAAGCCCCTCAAAGGTAACACACATGCAGAACAACAGCCATAATTTCAATCCCCTGCCATTGGCCGGTCTTATTTCTTACCTTCCGTCCCGAGAAGAAGAAACAGACATCACATATTGCAACGGAGCAAATCACAAATAACCTCCAGTGGCACTCTGAAGCGGCCTACATTTTCCAGGCTACCTACCATACTTTCTCAACTTTCCTTCTAAAATAGAGAGCACCCCAAAGCATTAACATACCACGGCTGGCTTGTGCCCAACTCTTCAGAATTCTCCCCAGCCATTGTGCTAGAAGCGACCCAATGGCATCAGCGTCCCGAAATATGGAGATGGGCCTTCCGACACCGAAGAAGTCATCAGAGGCGGCGTGCTCCGACCGTGATGACAGCGATCTAGACAACCAGTTGCCCCCAAATATTGCTCATCACGGCGGTATCATGGGTACATTGGGAACCTCAATTAGCGAAAGCGATCCTTTCCAACAGGCAGAGGCAAGTGAATTTTAAGTCCAATCTAAAGTTACCATCACTTTGTGGAACACGTTCTGACAGCAATTCAGGGGCCGATTGTGGCCACAATTGAACACCGGTCCGATCTTGAACGCGAAGTTGCAGAGCAGATTGCACTTATGGACGAGTGCTCTGAGAAGATTGCGACCGAGGAACAAATCCGGTGTAAAACCGACTTAGTCACAGATGACACCAAGCCCGGCATCACCGATCGGGGCAACCGCACAACCTCAGCTACAGGGCAAGATTCGATTCTCGTTGACGATGGCGTGGATTTCGTCGCCGGGGGAAACTTCGGCGTAGCACCGAAGTCTTGCAACAATCCAAGCGGGTATGCCCCCTGATAACTGCAAAATAAAGAAGGAAAGAAAGAGAGCCGGGAGTCATGGCGGAAGAACAGTGTACTGACAAGAGCCCATAGTGTTCAGGCGCCGTTGACAGCGGCCGTGAAAGGCCCTCCGAAGCTAGAGGTATCATCGGAGCAGGAATCTTTGGAGTCAAACTACAACATTTCTGATCACCACAGCCAAACAACATGCTCTGACCTGTCTGATTGGATCGCATCCCTGACCGACGGATCCGTGAGCTCTTCAGAGAGTTCAACCAGCGGTGACGGAGAGCGAGTCCAAGCCGACAGACCTAACACCACACCTCCGGCCTTGGAGGATAATAACGCAGACACAACAGGCAGCCCCTTTAGAATTGGGAGGTCGCATCTCGGAGGGTTGGGTATTTTTGCAACCCGGGAGCTCAAAAGAGACGAGACCGTCTGGGAGGAGGCTCCGCTACTGCGGACAACACATGGTAGTCTGATGATGGACTATTCTAACTTGTCCGACGCAGCCAAGAAGGCGTATATGAGCCTCCGTGGTGCCGAAGGGGAGGACCGCTTTACACGGGTGGAAATGATCAAGCAGCTTAACGGGTACGTCGCTCATGCCACATATAAAAGGGGTTCCTTTCGGGGGCTTGTCCCTTTGTCTTCCTTTTCTTTTCTTGTCTAACATCGAGACAGATTCGCCCTCCCAGATGGGGTTGGAATCTTCGAGACTGCCTCTCGCTTCAACCATGCCTGCTCGCCAGTTGAGAACGTCGGATACACGTTCGACGAGGAGCATGATGTTCTCACCTTCACCGTCTGTCAAGACGTGATCCCAGCCGGAGCCGAGCTGCTGGTCAACTACGGGGCCTCACCCGTCGAGCTGTACTCCAACTGGGGGTTCCGATGCGCCTGCGGTGGTTGCACACCGCTGACAGACAGAGACATTTGGAGAATGAGGAACGAAGCTTTGGGAATCCCGGGCGATCATGGTATGGGGGTCCTGGATTGGTAAGGTTGCCGTTGCAATTCGTGATACGCGAAGGAGCACTCGCAACCCGGCCTCGATGGCTGTCAGGTGGACGGGCCAGTCCGTCGGGTCTTCATCATGCCTCGACACGTAGCGCTGAACACCTTGGGTTATTAACCAGGATCGCTGCGTTGGTTATTCTCATTTTTCTTTCGGCGTTTTCTTTTTATTTTATTTTCTTTCTTCGCGTTCTTTCGATCTTTTCCCCCCCTTTTTTCTCTTTTTTTCTGTTTCCGTTTTTCTTCTCTCATTACCGACGTAAGGGGGCGAACAAGTCAACGTGGAGGTAAATCTCCAAATTTTACCTTTCAGCAGGATTTTAGTTTTTCATCATAGAGAGGAAAATAAACTTAAAATATCATAATAAATGGAACGTGAGTGAACTGCGAATAATCATGTGGGAGCTCCGGTGACTGCAGCTTTCGAAGAACAGCTCTCCGCTACCCCGAAGCGACTAGCAGAACCGATTACCTAGTCTGAAGAGGGGCCAAACTTAGCGAGGCCGCCTCCACTTCCAGAACATTAAACGATCAGTATTACCCACAAGGACCTCAATAGCCAAGCAACCGTTCAAATCTTGTAGCTACACGTGGCCAAAATTACTCAGTTACTATGATTGGAAGCCCAATCCTTGTGTAGCGCCTTCAATAAACGCAAGGAAGCGAGCGGGACGAGCCGCTAGCCGCAGGATTTCGATCTCGCATCCATGCACATGTGGCCTAGAACGTTGTACGACCCCTCCTTGAAAAGCCCGTCCGGCGGACCGCGGTTTCCGGGGTATCCGAAGGGTCTCAGGGGCATGATTGATGATGTGCCTTACTAATGCCATGACTGCTAGTTTTTTTGTGACGCCTTTTATACCGCAAACATGAAGTTCATGTTGGTCATCAGCTTGTAGGGATTCAAAGTCGAACGTCTTTGTCATTACATCTTAAGGAAGAGGATCAACGAATATGAAGCAATGAGCGGAGAAAAGGCTACAAAGGAGAACTAACTTTCCAATAACTCCCTCCCTACTCAAGCACGCTTCCACTCCAAGTCACCTGTGTTGAAGATCTCCAACTTAATGCGCTCAGCCCCAACCCCCTGCGCCTTGAGGTACTCCGACGTCTCCCCCATAAACTGCTCCGGTCCACAGATGTAATACTCAGCGCCGCTATTCTGAAGATGTAGGTCCGCGGGATCGACCTTGGCAAGATCCAAGCGACCGTGGTGGTCGTGGGTGGCGCTGCCGTTGACATCGCCCGGGTCGGTCTTGAAGACGATGGTGCGGAATTTCGGGTTGGTCTTGCGCAGTTCGGTGATGTGGTCTTCAAAGGGGACCGTCCGCCTTGAGACGTGGATCCACGAGATGGGCCGTTCGGCTTGTGCTGCAGTGACGGTGTTGGCGATGGCTAGCAAGGGGGTGAACCCCACGCCGGCGGATATGAGTACGAGGGGGATGTTGCTGGGGCTGTCCCCGTTAACGAAGAAGTCACCGGCGGGGTGGGAGACTCCGACAATCGAGCCGGCGCCTAGTTGGTCGATAAGTAGGTTGGAGACGAGGCCCGGGTGGGAAGAGGAGGACTGTGAGCCCGCGTTAGGGTCGGGCAGGCCCTCGTCTCGCCTGACACTGATGCGGTAGTAATCCTCGCGCCAGGCGTCGCTGAGGGAATACTGGCGCGCCTGCTTGTAGCCGTCCGGACCTTGGACCTGGACCGAGATGTACTGGCCCGGGAGGAACTTGGGGAGTTTCTTGCCGTCTTCTGGCACCAAGTAGAATGAGAAGATGTTCTCATTCTCGGGTACCACCTTGTCAACCTTGAAGTTACGCCATGACGTCCACTCCTCGAAGTCTTTATAAAGCTGCGCCTCTCGGCCGATGAGAATGTTGGCTAACAACCCGTACGCCTTTCCCCATGCCTCCACCAGTTCCGGGGTCAGCGCCGATCCGAGTACCTCCCCAAAGGCGCGGATGAGGTGCTCTCCCACAATTGGATAGTGTTCGGGTTGGACGCCGAGCGAGGAGTGTTTGTTGCACATGCGTTCGACCTTGGGGGTCAGCTCACTCATGTTGTCGATGTTGGCGGCGAAGCTGAGGACGGCGCCGGCCAGGGCCCGGGCTTGGCGACCGTTCTGCTGGTTGGCGGTGTTGAAGTAGTTGTTGAGTTCCGGGTGGTCATGGAGCAGATTCTTGTAGAACGCGGTCGTGATCTGCTCGCCGTGCTCCTGCAAGATGGGAGCCGTCGCCATGACGAGTTTCGTTTGCTCGGTCGTGAGCGCCATAACGATATGCTGTCTTTGGTTCAATGTTTGTCAAGAAGATGATACGAGAGCTGGTCCCTTGAGAAAGGATAGATCAGGGCTCCCCGAACTTGACCCCCAGCTTCGGGCTTTCCCCAGATTTTATACGAGACTAGACGGAGCGAAAGCGGGACAACGGCTTTTCCCGACTTCAAGCCTTTCTTGTCATGTTCATGCTGGCGGAAGCCTTGGCAGGTGAGCAGGTGGCCTCGGGATCCTGGCTTGAACCTGGATGGGATATGTCAATGGTTCCCGGAAGAAAAATTACCGGGTTGGAACATCCAATCCCGGAGGATAATCTAGCATCACTTGACTGTAAAAACTGTAATTCCGCAGGTTGAAGATAAGGGACATGTTGTGATGGCTTTGTGACGCATGGTCCTAGTGACTTCGGCGAGTCTTCAAGCACAGACGTGCCTCAGCTATGTTCACGTCCCACGTTCATCTTATCTGTGGTCTGTTGACGAGCTTTGTCCTACTTCAAAATCGGCAGAACTAGTTGCTACATCCCACGGTGTGACGTCCAGCCGCGTCCGCAAAACTCCCAGGCCATCAAACCGAGTCATCCGGAACCATGGTCGTTTGGCTGCAGATTCATTTTCGCCAATGCCGCTTTCCTCCGATTTCATTAATAAAATCCCTGCAGTGCCGCCGAAGGCTCCGCTATCGCGTGTTTCGGTTCGTGCCGTGATGAGTGCTTCTCCGCGGGGAACGATTCTTGTTCTGAACGTGGGTGGAGGTAACTCTTACATCCAGGTATTTTGCAGTGGATTTTCACGACGTTGTGTTTGGAGGTTGTGGGTCGCCTTGGAGATGGCGCCAGAAGAACGATGGAAGCTCTGAAAGTCCCAATGGGAAGGGGACGATAAAAAATCGGTCGATATTTTTATCTCCGCGGAGCCACAATTCCACACGTGCCCGCGCAAAGATGCCGCCACACCAGGGCCCCCCTCGCGCCGGTTAATAAGCATGGTCCGATAACCTCGCACACCCAAATCGATTAGAAGTCGCACCTTCCAACTAGGTAGATGCATTGCTATGACTCCTAATCAAAATCGGTATGTGGTGTGGTAGCGTTGCCGTTTCAACACGGTAGGCAGCAGATTCGGTTCTGAGTTTTCATCTGAAGTCTCAAGGCAGAATTTTTGGGGCCTCGAAAAGAAAAAAAGCCACTTCAGCAAGAAGTATGGGTGCTCTAACGTTCCCTAGGGCTGACTTTTCTGGTAGCACCCTTGAGGCTCTGCTGTTTAGTTACGTTCCGGGCCGCTGGCCCGTTGCAGATGTCAAACGGTAACCCTAAAGTACTCCTATGTAAAAGCTTCCTTTGTGGTGTAAGTCGGAGGCCAGGGTGGAGGACCCACCGGTTCTCCGGAGTGGGGCAATTCTCCGGATTGGGATCCGGAGACTAGCGGTCCCGGCCAGGCCGTTCCTGGGTCTTGGCGATCCGATATGACCAGAGACTGCGGGGCCGGAGCCGGGCACCAACCGGAGGGCGCCACTTTGCCGATTCCACGCTGGCCCAAGGGCCGGCGTCCTCCACGTTCATCCTCAGGTTCGCCCATCCTCAAGCAGCGAGCAATCCCCCCTCACTCACATGGCCGATAAGGCATCACACCATACCGGGAGCCCACAATCACTGTCACCCTGCGAAGCATAAAAGATATCCCGATGCACGGGTTCGACTCGCTTGAGGGTGCCAGCCCCCTCTCCCGTTAGATAACTAGCCCATGATCCCATTTACCTCGTTGGCGGCGATGTGCATGCAAACATTTTACTGGATTCGCAGCGCGCGGTGACCACGTCATTCCAGTGGTTAGCCAATTCCAAAGCAACCCACAGGCCAGCCGGTAGGTATGCCCTTTCTTTATTAACCATGACTCCACATAAGTTTCAACTCAATTCAACGACGTGTACTTGCCATGTGTCAACAAGCATCTCTGCCAGTATTAGTTATGTTTTGTTGAGTCATAGTGTCAACTACTGAATAGGTGTCCAACCTCATAATCACCTTTTTCGGTTGTTTTTGACATCGCAACAGCATTTTTTTGGGCTTCAAAGAGCGAGACCGGCCAGATTGATGCTGCCAGGCCCCAGTCTTGATGATATCTGGGGTATGACAGGAAATGGAAACAGAAAAGATCGTCGCGTGCTCCTCCTGCAAGGTCTGCCCCTCCACTCGGGATTACCCATTTAGGTAACCCGGGACCTATGAACAGTCTAGATCGACGCGAACACTTCCACCCGCTCGTGTTCAGGGTTTTGGTTAACTGCAGCATCGCATCGCTGGCATGGCGATGGCGCAGGGACAAGTGAGCTGAGGAACCCATTGCGGAAGTGCCATAGCTAGAGAGAACCAATGATGGTGAACTGTCAAAACGACCGGCCTGGGGGGTAAACTCACCGGCTGTAGGATGCTTTCCGAATGGGGTCTTTGGAGGGGTTTGGACTGATGCGGGAACACGTCTCGCCACCAATGCGGTTGCCAATGCGATTGCGAAGCACACTGATGAATTCCAGTAATGCCGCTTTGTGAGGGGGTGGAGTGAGGGGATCCGGGAGAAGACCTCCATCTCCGCCATGCTTTTCTCTACCTGGCTAGAGCAGGAATCTACCCGCGCAATGTTCATTTCACTACCCGCCGAATGGAAAACAATGAAGGTCAGCTGCTCGTGGTTCTTCTTGTCTGATCTCATCGATTGGCAATCTCGTGACTAAGGGCCAACGTGGAAACTCCTGCTCTTTCACTCTATATAAATTGCATCCCGCGAGCCCAGATTTCCCATTCCCCTCAGCCTTCCGCAGCCTCGGAAACATAAACTGCGGGTTCATTGATTCTAACCTCCAAACTATCTTATAAATCCAACGGCAGTACCCAGCAGCCTGAGTTCCACGCAAGTTACGCAACGGCATTGCAGCACTTGACCCCACATCATGACATCCATCATTTCCAAAATGGTTTTGACAGCAGGCCCACGGGCCATGCTCGCCCGCCGATCCCTGCAGGCCGCACCGATCGTCGCCTCACAGGCAGCCCACGCGAGGAGAGCTTTTCACCAGACACAAAACCTTCGTCAAGCTCGCATTCCCTCTCTCCCCGAGTTCAGTCTACAAGACCGCGTCATCGTGGTTTCTGGTGCCGCCCGTGGCCTCGGCCTCACACAAGCCGAGGCACTCCTCGAGGCGGGCGCCGTCGTGCACGCCATCGACCGCCTGCCGGAGCCCGATAAGGATAGCGATTTTGCACGAGTGGCCAAACGGGCGACCGATGAATTGAACTCTCGCCTGGTATACCACCGTGTCGACGTGCGAGAACAGGCAGCGCTGGGCGAGATCATTGGGGGCATCGCGGAGAAGGAAGGCGGTATCAATGGGCTGATCGCGGCCGCGGGGATCCAGCAGGAGACCCCGGCGCTTGAGTACACAGCTGAGGATGCGGACCGCATGCTCAGCGTCAATGTCACCGGTGCATTCATGACGGCACAGGCTGTCGCGCGAGAGATGGTCAAGCGCAAGCAAAAGGGTAGCTTGGTCATGATTGCCAGCATGAGCGGAACCGTCGCGAACCGCGGCTTGATTTGCCCGTGAGTCTCTCCCTTCTTTCCTATATCTTATTCACCATACCTATGCCATTATACCAGCCGGTTGGTGGGTCAAGGGAGACCAAGTGCTAACCAACACTCCCAAATGCAGGGCATACAACGCATCCAAAGCAGCGGTTATCCAACTCGGTCGCAACCTCGCGTCAGAATGGGGAGAGCACGGCATCCGCGTCAACACCATCTCCCCCGGTTACATCGTCACAGCCATGACCGCCGGCCTCTTTGAAGCGTTCCCGGAGAGGCGAACATCGTGGCCCGATGCAAACATGCTCAAGCGTCTGAGCTATCCTGAAGAGTACCGCGGCGCAGCCGTGTTCCTACTCAGCGATGCTAGTAGTTTTATGACCGGCGCCGACTTGCGGATCGACGGTGGCCACTGTGCCTGGTAAGCCTGAAAGCCTCAGGCGGGGTGGGGGGGATGGGGGACAAGGGTGGGCACTTGCCAGAAAGCAAGTTAATGAGGCTCGTAATTTACGAGACTGGGGTATCCGGAAGGTGGGAAGATAATATTGTACATAACCAGCATCGGTTGCGTTGCTTTCGGTCTTGATTTGATGGAGGGGCGATTCACTTGCAATCCAGCCTTAGCTAAATAGTAATACACACACGCGTTGTCTTCCCCCACACCTAGTTATAACGTCATTTCACTATTCACGTCGCTAGGGTCACCACTCCCTGGACACCTAACCTCGCAACCAAGCCAGGCTTAAGTCTCAAACGTGCTTCAATGTCCTTGGCTGGCGTACCATTCTGGCGCAGCAATATCACCTGTTCAACCGTACCGATGTCCAAAAACTCCCTCCCTTCGTCGCCCGGCTTGCCCATACGCTCCAGCTCTTGCTTAGCCCGTGCTTCCAGCGCCCGACGCACTTCTAAAGCGCCTAGGGTTGTGTTACTCGAGGGAGAGGGAAACTGTGGTGTTTGTGGGGATGTTTGTTGAGCTTGGTTCTGTCGTGTTGTGAAAGCAGCGGGAAAGGGAGAGGCTATGGACGATGGTGAATAGGTTGGGTTCGGTTGCACAATGCCCATTTGCTGCAGTCGGTTCGCGAAATCGACACTGAACTCGGGACGGTTGGGGTCTATGGAGTCGGCGAGAATCGCTACCAAATTGTGAGTTACTAATTGGAGGCTTTCCTGAACAAGTTTCTAGAAACGTACCGTCATCTTTTGTGTATGAAGCCTGGGGTCGGGCCCGTGGCTTACTCTCTGTGGCGGGGGTAGCGACTGGTTGTGGGTTTGACGTCGCTGCACCGCTTGGAGCCCGGACTGCTGCTGGTGATGAACCCGGTGCTCGTACAGGAAATTTACGTATGGCGTTTTGCGCTGTTTTGGACCCGGATGACCCCATTGTGAATTCCTGCGGAGGTTTAATCGGCGAGTGCGGCGGAGTCCTGACCAAAACATTCGCACTCGCGCCGGGCCGAAATATTTTTTGACTGGAGCTGTGTCGTCATCGTTCATGGCAATTATTTCAGCCACATATAACTTATATTCAACTGTGGCTAGAACCATCGCAACGCCACAACCCCAGATATTCTAACCCTAACGCGACGACCAGGACGTGTGACGTCTACTTTACAAAAACTCAAAAGTCTTACCGTTAACACCCCTTCAGTTTTTTCAGAAAGAAAAGGAAAAAAAACAAGAAAAAACACAAGGAGACTGACATGACTACTAAGCCCCAACCCAATCCAACCCATCTTCTCACATCCACGGCATGCATCAAATGGCAAAAGGTGACAATTATCTCACAACTAACCTAGGATCAAGGTACCATGGGAAGGGGGCACACGGCCGTGCTTCTGTGGGTTTTGTTTACTCGAGTAATTGGAGCTGGTTGACACGATTATCGACACCATTAAAGTTGTTAAGGTACCGTTCGACTTGGCTAGGCTGGGTCCTGGTCAATCATCTCTCCTGCTTCCCTCCCTCTCCAGATAACCTCTAGTATGTGGATAGGTTCTAATTGGGACTATTCCAGTACTAACTTTATAGGTATTGTAATGTAAACGGGCTCTAAAACCGGTTTTGCTAAGATCCGAGGAGATACCCTCACTAGATCGTGGTTTGGCGACCGATCTCCTCGATAGTTGTGCCATTCTCTTGCAGGGCGAGCTGATATCCCGGCGGCTAGTGATTATCTCGACTGGGCCGTGCCGGGTCAGCCCGCTTCGGGTTGTCAGGTTGAGGTGGAAGTGCCGGTCCCGCCAGAGGTTCGGGAGGGTTGCAGTGCAGAGTGCTTTTTAAAGACACCCCTTCAGGTCGACTTGCGGGTTCCGAAAGATCTCGGAAGGCGGCCACGCCACCGTACGGCACAACCGCTCCTTGGGGATAGCATGAGAGCGGCAAGTGCGGTGATATGATTCAAGGAAGCTTGAGCCGCCTCGTGTGCCGATTCCAGGAAACAGGTAAGCTCATGGGGGCTGCAGGACGGCTGAGGCCGCGAGCGGATGCGGTGGCCAGCTTTAGGGTGAGGCTACCCAGGACCATCTTTGAGTGGTCGATGACTTGGCCACGATGATCGATTCCGTCATCATGGAGCATTATTGACGCGTGATTTTATTGGGATGGTGTCGTCCTTGATGTTAAATGGTGCGCAGAGCGGTGAACCGAGAAGGATAAGACATGGCGGATTTGAGGGATTTATTTGTGTCTGGAACAGGTCCCTTTTCCCGCATCTTGACCGCTTCCTTAGCCACCTAAATTGATGCTAATTGCGCATTAAGTTGATATCAACATGCTCTAGATCAATGAAGGGAAACAAAGCGAAGAAGAAAAGAGAGCACACCAGGTTACCCTCTATTCTATTCCCGAAAGCAATATGGCAAAACAATGATGTTAAGAATGGTTTGTAGAGTTCTTAGCCTGTATCCGTTTGCAAGAGGCGTTTTCTTATCGGGTTATAAACCGGGCCCATGCAGCGATACACCGAGTCTGGCATGTCTCTGAGAGAGTTTAGGTGTAACAGATGAAGACGCCACGTGCATGGCGGAAATTGGATCCTCAACTCCACTAGCCCCGCATCCTGGAGGTTGAAGTAATGCCCAACAAAGAGTAGCGGAGAGGTAGGGTGGTCGTTTATTTTCTGTGAATATCCCGCTATTTTGGTGTTTATATCCTCACCGGGTTGGGATGGCCTCATGCGATGAAGATCTGTCAAGCGGATACTAGTGGAGAGAGAGGAGAGAGCGAGAGCTTCCACCACGTTGAGATCCCTGGCGGTCCCTTGCAACCACGAGGCCCACTTTGCTTGGGGCATGTGGAGGTTGCCAGCCGTGAGTGGGTTTCATACAGACCTGCAGCCAATGAGAAGTAGACAATTAATCTCCACTGTCAAATTCAGTTCGTCGAAAGCTCCCCCGCTCACAGGCCCCAGCCCCGCTCCAGGCGAGAAACCAGACTGGCTTGCACGACATGCGCCCTTCCGGAAATCGGCTTTTTCACCTCCAATTCTCTCGCATCGCAACCGCGACACCGGACCTTCCACCGAGCGGATTCCAGCGTCCAACAATTCAACTGCCTATCTGTGCTCATCCCGTGCCCTCACGGGAACCGGGAACCCACTCGGGCGTGTGACCATATCGTTATCCGTCCTCCCCCACCCTCGGTGGTACCGCTCCGGGCCATGGAGAGCCCCGAGTTTGCTGCCGGCATGCGGGGCCAGGGGCTCAATAATGGCAGCGGCCCTTCCAAGCGCAAACGGAGCACCATTGACAGCAGCCCAGCCAGTTTGCTCGACCCCGACCATGACCACGATCACGACCAGGACCTCGACCATGACGACGGGGCCGGTGCCTCGCCCGATACCAAGAGCCGACGCCTTCCAGGCGTGAAACGTGCCTGTAATGAGTGCCGCCAGCAAAAGGTATGGAAGAGTCACATGCTTGTTTGTTGAAATACCGATGCCCCCCATCCTCGGGCCTCCGCGTCTCGGCTCCGGACCCGGCGCTTGTCTCAGCGCCACGCCGCATGCACCACTCCGGACCCGGAAGAGGGGCCGGCCCGGACCGGCACTCGCCCTCAGGGCCTCGCCGTTTGTCGTTCGGTACCCGGCCAGTCTCTCCCAATCTCAGTATGCAGTGCTAACGCTTCTCGATTGTCTCTAGTTGCGCTGCGATGTCGTCCAAGACCCCTTCCAGAGCTGCTCGAGGTGTAATCGGCTGAAGCTGGAGTGCAAGATTGAATCCAACTTCAAGCGCATTGGCAAGCGTTCCAAGCATGCCGAGATGGAAAAGGAGATTGAGCGTTTGCGCCGTGCCGTCGAGGTCGCTCGAAACCAGGGCTTCGCACTTGAAGAGGATGACGAGACACTCAACTCTGCTGTCCACTCCGCCATGCAGTCGCAACTCCAATCCCCAGTCGTCGCAAGCCACTACACTCATACGCGCAACCCGTCTCTGATGGGATCCGACGAGGCGGTGTCATCCCTTCTCCATCTTAAGCGCGGAGGCTCTTACGCCATGCCTCGCGTCGCCCGCGAGCTCGACAACTTTAGGCTCACCGAAGACGAAGAAAGCCAACTCTTCAGCCAGTTTTTCAACTATTATCACCCATTCCTCCCGTTCCTCAACCCTACACAGACACCAGATCAGTTCTATCAGCAACATCCTTTGCTGTATTGGTCGATCATCGCCGTGGCTGGCAGACGTTTTGGTTCTGATCCCAACACGCTTACCAAACTCTCTGGTCCGCTGACTCGTTTGCTTTGGAGTACCGTTGGGGACGTCCCTCAAAGCTATTTTGTGGTCAAGGCGTTGTGTTTACTATGCACATGGCCGCTCCCGACAAGCACGACGTCGGCCGACCCCACACATATTTTGTGTGGTGTCATGATGAAAACGGCCACTGGCCTCGGTCTGCACCGGCCGAATCACATCAATGACTTCTCACGAGTCGCCGTAGAGTTGAATAAGGAGGGACTACACGACCGTATCAAGACGTGGGCCGTGTGCAACATCGTCGCGCAAACCATCGGGACAGGCTATGGCCAGCCTGCCTCGACGCTGTACGATTGGACGCTCGCTATCCGGCCCGGCGTCGAGGGCCCCTACTCGCTCGGCCCAGAACTGGAGGCTAGGTTACTGATCGAGAGATTTTGTGACAAAGTTTCCAAGGAGATGTACAGTAACGCCAGTGACCCCCGTGGCGTGGCTGGTGACGAGCACCGTGCGATGTTGATGCGGGTGTACCGACGCGAATTTAATGAGCTCCAAGCGTCCATACTAGCCCAGAATTTGTCGCCCATCGTCTATCTCCACCTCAAGGCAGCCTGCCTTCACCTCCGACTTGCCGGCTTTTTTGACTCCAGCCGCACTCCAGGGTATCTCGACGACCTCATGGCCCTGTGGCGTGCCACTACGGGGTATTTGGACTACATCCTGGATGTGCCAGATACGTGTCACGAGTCATACAAGTACCAGCTACGGGATCAGTACCTCCTCAAACACGCCACAAACTATGTCCAACAGATGTTGGTCGCGGCCGGATTCGCACTGCTCAAATTGATGCGGTCATTTTTCGTCAAACAAGTTGAATTTGAGCGAGGCCGGACTCTCTTCCACCGGACCATTCAGGCCATCAGAACTGCCAGTGTGGTCCAGAACGATCTCAACTGGCGCCTCGCCGAGCTGATGGTGCAAATATGGAACGGCGCGCGGATCGAAGGGAGCTCGCCATCGTTTCAAGGCGACGACCCCGAGATTGATGACAGCTTACAGCTGAAAGTGAGGTGTCGTCACAGCATGAGTCTCGTGTTCGACTCGATTTGGCACTGGAGGGAGGAGTATCAAGCTCGCGGCCGCGGGACGCTTGATGGTGAGTCCACATACCAGAACCCCTATCCCCCTCCCCTCCTTACCTATCAATCCGCCTGCTTCCAAGACCCTCCGCTTTTGCCTGTGTTCTTGAGGTGAATCCGTGCGGGCTAAGATACTTCTTGGTAGCTCTCAAGCAACCCACGAATCCCGATTCGGCTAATGAGTCTTCAGCCTCCTCCACTCATCTCGACAGCACCCTTGCCCCGCCATCACATAGTCTCCCCGCTAATCTCGGCCTGGCGGCGTCCAATGGTGCTCTGACGCCTAGTGGCGGTTCAGCGATGGGAGGAGGCGCTCAAGGCTCGCTCTTGGGCCTAAGCAACTACGACAGTAGCAACTACGATTTCTGGGACCCCCAGCACTGGATGCTAGACGGCTTGATCGACTTCAACTATAGCTCTTACGTCCCTATTGAGACCACGTAAAGCCGGGTTCGAACTGGAGTGGGCCTCATTCGGGGGCTTTTATCCGCCCTAACGTAATTTTAGCTTCGAGCACGAGTACCCAACATAGTTCAACATCACGGTTCCTCACCTTTTGATGAAATACCCCTTGTCGTTTATATTATTTTTGTCCTTTTTCTCTCCTTTTCTGTTGTTTGGCTCATCTTGTTACTGGCACAGGGGAAATGGTTTATGGGAGTAGCAGTTACGGTTCAGTTACGGTATACCAAAAAGAGCGCAAAACGGTATTTGAGGTTGGTTTTCCTGGGGAAGGAGTTGGTCCCAATGGTGTCTATCTAATCCTAGGCAGTTTCAAGATAGCCTCAACCAGGAAGATGTTTCTCTCACAAATGTTGCCGGGTTGTTCGCCCCCGGCCCGCGCGCCACCCAATGTTTCTTGACGGTGTCACGAAACACAACATCGAGCGGTATGTCGTTATGCCCTCCCGATCTACTCTTCTAAAATAAGGTCCCACGCGTCGTGCCGCCTGTTCCACGGCCCCCATTTCCCTTCCGGCCCGAAGATCCTCATATCAGCTGTGGTCATGACAAGGCTCAAGAGGTCCCGGTCATTTTCCAGAGCCTTCCTTACCTTACGGATCACCACATTTGCGTGTCCTCGGGAAACTCAGAGCAACGCTTGCGCGTTCCATTAGAGTTGGAGAAAGAGTGTGCCGCAGCGGGTGAACCGGTTTCGAGTTGGTGATAAATGCTTCTATTCTCGTCCTAAACCCCTCGCCGTCCAGAATTGCCACCGGGCGAACGCCCGTTGCCATGTCCCCCAGTTCCCATTCTGCCCGTGGGGGTTGGTTGGCTGTTGTTTCTGTTGTTGTTGGTTTCGAAGCTCGTCGAAATACGGACGCGGGGTTGGGGGCGACTTTGGTTTCCGAACCTTTTGAGATGCGGCACAGTTCTCACAACACGGCCTTTCAAGGCAATTGTGGACACAGCCTCAATATTGCGATCAACGTCACGTTCCGTCCCAATTCCCAACAGCCCGATTCGGACGATATCTTGAAACTTGAAACACCGGCTGACCCCGGTTCGTTCGTCCGCACCCACCAGGCTGGTAAAGAAACACGGGATTTTCCCTGGCAGCAAACCCATCGCCGACCCGGGCTCTGCCGCACCATCGCATGTTTGTCCTTGCACCTGATCGTTCCGTACTCGGGGAATTGGCTCACACTTTAGACGAAGCCGCATTCGGGCGGGTTTTACATCATTTTTTATGTTATTCTTTTTATTTTTTCCTTTTCCCGAACCATTTTATTCTAATTCCTCTGTCGTCGTTTCGGGTCAATTTACGGATCCGTAACACGCAGAGAATCCCCGTGGCTCGACCCGCATTTCGGACCAAGATTGCGGTAAGGAACGGACTGATCTCTTGAGTAAGTGACCACCGGCAGGGTGGTCGAGCTAAGTTGATTTTTGTTCTTCATCTTTTATCTTAGTATTTTATTTTATTTTATTCTTCACAGTGGCCCTTCCGTTTCTCATAAGTTCCATAGCTTGGCTTGGCTTGGCTTTCGATCATATGGGTTTCAGGTGTCACATTGCACGATTTGTATCACATCGCAGGTTGCTTCACGTGCCGCAGTCTCCAGTTTCCATGCCCCCGAGCGTTTCTTTTGTCCAGATGAGACATTGTCGCTCTGGTACACGCTTCTCTCATTTTTCTTCTTTTTACATTGCGGAAAATAGTGCTACATTCCCAATTATAGTTTCATATTGAGTCCATCGTTTGCTTTCGTCCTGCCGTAGACCCATTCCGAGAGTGCTCGAGTTGGTCCGACTCCTCAACCGGCCCTGTAATGGCTGTAGTACAAATCTACAATTCCTGGAGGTTTCAAGTACGCCAATGGTAATTACATTTCTTCTTACATTCCCGGGTTCAAGTGGATGATGTGTACGTACGTCGGTCTATCTACCGTCATTAAGGGTAACTAGCCGCCTGCAGACGGCGTAGTCCATACGCTTGTTCGCGGCGCTGGTTAGGTATGTCGCCGCATCGGCCGGAAGAAGCGAGACTCGTTGAAACTCCGAAAAAACACGGGCACGGGCTCTCCACATCGCGTTTTCCCATTTCCATAGACATACCTAGCAAGACGCACGTAGATGCACGCACCTGCTGTTTTGATGCCGGCGTCACCGGGCGGGTAGAATGGCCGTTTTCGCTGTCCTCTTTGTGCATGTGAGTATGTTACGCATCGCGATCGCCGGGCCAGCTCCCACGTCAACGGCGCCTTGCAAGCCTCACCTCGCCATGGGCACGCTCGTGGTACGTACCTGTCCATGAAACAGGCCAACCTTTCTTCGTCCGTCGCCGATTGACCCTCAGCCTGAGTGAACCCCGCGCTAACGCACTACTCCTCTCTTTCTGCGCCTCATTTTATCCCGTCTCGTACTTCTGATACTTTCCTTCACCGCCTTATTCAGCATTTTGTCCTGGTGGTGTAAGGTGTGCATGTGCATGGTCTGTTGGCCGGCTTGAAGGAGGAAGGCATGTCCTTGTGGCTTGCCTCACTTACACCACACCAGCTTGCCAAGATGGGCCAACCAGCGGCTTTGCACTATCGCCTTCCGTCTACGGGTCTGTTCTAAACCCCCCACACCTTCCCCCACAGAGTTTCCAAAAGCCAGACTTCCGACAATGTTGGTCATCTCAATCGGGCCTGTAAACATTATGTGGCTGTGTTTTTTTTTTCTAAAGTGATTCTTCCCGTTTCTTGTCCACTCTCATATCGTCGTCTGTGAACCGGCGGTGATGGGAGAATTCGCGAGGCTATGTTGGCCTGGCCGCATCGTATGCGGCCCGCAGACAAGGGCCACCGCCTTGTGCCCTCACCACATGAGACTGGCTCGGCCACCCGCTTCCAAACCCTCGGGATTAGGCGCTCTAAAATACCAGAAAAAAAGAGAGCAAACAGGCCAAAAACATGGGTCAGGGGAGGGCAACGAAGGGTGGCGTTGACCGACAAGGCATTTTTTTCTTCGATTTTCTTTTCTTCACGTGGTTGTTCTGGTCGTCGACGAAGGCCGCATCGTGGCGGGCTCACTCGATCATATGCAAGGTTCTCGCCAATACGTACCGTTTTCCCGCTTTACTTACACTAAAGTGGTGGGTTTTGAGTCACGCTTGTACTGCCAGCCAATCCCCAAATCAGTTCTCACAACGGTATAGCAGGTTAAGCAGGTTAGGTTGCCTTGAGGACAACCCCTCCTTTTCTTTGATGATCATCACCGGCGTGTTGTCGCCTTCAATTCTCTAATCCTGAACCCGGCGACGCGATATCCACTAGGGGTGTGTGTAAAGGCTTGCCGCTTGTCCACATTCACGCCCCTTCAGATCTACCTCCACGAGTCCATGGGTCGGTCGCCACGCTCTCCTCATCGTCCACTCCGAGGCCACGTCCATGTGTGTGTTTTGGATGGACGCACCGTCCAGTGTCCTGGTACCTGGCCCGTACTTTACGACACCGTATCTAGAACCTCAAAGACTTTGATCTCCATCACACCGTTTTGAGGGCTCCTCTCTTCCCGTTCCCTCTTTGCCCGGTGTGGGTTCATTTCCGGTCTTCTGCAAGTCGACTCACGTTAGCCGCCCGGGTAAGGGGCACACACATCAAGCATCACGTCTCTAGTCTTGCTTCCCTGGCCTTGTCGCTCCTTCTCACCTCCTTGTCCCCCCCTCCCATGGCCACATTGCTGGCAAGATCTTTGAACTCCTTTCCTCGGATCAACACCCGACAGGTCTTCAAGATCTGATACTAGTGTACACCACTTTCCTCTTTCCCGCCCAGGCCCCTGTTGGCGCGCCTGCGAAACGGTCCAAAGGCCCCCAGCAAGCATCGTCGCGGGCCACACAAACGCCCCGTTCGCTCACTTGGTCGCCCTCCGCGTTTCTCTGCGGTCTGTTGGTTCTGACCTTGTCTTTCTTGCTAAGCGCAACCAACAGCCCAGCCCAGCCCAGGCCCCCCTGCGACCCTGCGACGCTACCCACAAACAACAAAAGACGAAAAAAGGGTTTTCTTTGGTCCATTCCCGTCTCTTTTTCCCAGTCATCTTTCTCCGCCCCGCATGAAGGCGCGCGCCGAGGCCGGGTAATGTGATTTCCTCAGGAGCGGTTTGCGGTCCTGACTGGCTCTCGTCTCTTTCTCTCGATCTTCTCTCTCCACTTGCGTCCTTGCCCTTTTACGCCTTGGCCAGGGGAAGGCAGCCCCACGCCCCATCTTGAGGCGAGTAGCGATGCTCAGCGACGGGATGGGCGGGAGGACGAGGCACAGGGGGGTGTGGGGGAGATCTTGTTCACGGCGGCAAAGATGTGGTTCGTGCGATGGCCACGGCACACACACCCACACACAGAGAGACACACACACACACATACACCAAAAAATACACCGCAGCTTTCTCTCACGCGCACAGTGCCTTCCACACGTACAGAAGCTCGGAGAATGGGTGTCCGGTGGATAAGTGAGGTAAAAAAGGGAAGAGGGAGTCTCGTATGCAGTGCTCTTCTGTGGGCGAGCTCATCCGCAACCGGGGAGGAGGTTAGGTGATTCGGAGGTAACGGAAGGCTGATGAGTGATTGGAGGAGAGTGGAAAAGGGGGAGAGGGGGGGAGGAAGGTGGTGTGTGTGGAGAGAAAAGTTGAATGATCCCCTGTGATCGGAAGATGCTTGCCCCTGGTTGAGGCCGCGGCACCGTCACTGCGCCGTTGCCCTTGATACCTACCGGGAAGCCCATTGCTGTTCACTGCGGTGCTCTCAAAGAAGATGCAGGCACCGTGAACGGTGGGTGCTAGGCAGGATGATGGATGGTCGCGGACGGGAGGGCGGGAAGGGGCCTGGCTCGATTGAACAGCCGACCGTTGAAGGGTGAGACGGGGAGGACAAGGCCACAACAGACCAGCGGGATGTGGGAGGGAGGGAAATGCAACGGAGTGGCAAAACTACGCGCTTTGCTTGTTCCCACACACACCCTTCC